TTCTAGTTGTTCCGCCTCACTGAACCAAATGACTTTACATCTTACACGTATTGATTGGTGTTGCATGTCTCTCTAAAATATATAAAAGCAAGCTCTACCCTGACCACCTTGGGCCCATGTTGTCAGGACCTCCTGAGGCTGTGCCATGGGCGTGTCCTTAACCTTGGCGAAATAAGCTTTCTGCTTGACTGAGACCTGACTCAGATATTTTGGGATCACAATCAACAATCACCATGGTGTGACATTTGACTACAGCATTCAGTACAGAGATGAGCTATACAGGTATGCAGCCTGAAAGCAAGAAGCTATACCAGATCACTTATGTGTGAAGTGGGCTACATCATACAGGTTTTATAAGGACACTTGATGGTGTTTGCACATGGATGAAATCACTAAGGACACATTTCTCAGAAAGTATCCATATCATCATTTGATGCGTGACTGTGTTTTAAATGGCTAAAACCTAGGAGAAAAAAAGCAACTGAACTCCTATTATGGTTTAATAACAAACCTTAATATAGTTAACATATTTCATGTAATCTAAGATGCTAATGATTAACAAATATCATTTTATGCACCATCACAAATAGCTTGCCAATAAAACCAACTTTCTCAATAACAACAAAAATGTGAACTTACTTTTATTAATGTCAGTAAAGTAAAATGAAAATGAATTATGGTTCTGATACATTAAAGCAAAAAAGGAAGAAGCCGTTAGCCTGAGGTCTTGCCTAAGCAAATGGAAACCAAACTTGGAGTCATTTAAACTGACTTAAAAACATTAACAAACCAACCAATCACTAACAAAAAGCCTAGCTTCTAGTTGGCTGTATGATTAGGGACGCTCAGGGAACCATCCCCACAACCAGCGACCGCCAAGCTGGAGCCAATGGGAAAACTCACTTCGCTGCCACTGCTAAGAGCTCAGAGCCCCAAGCCCTGTTATCCGTTCTTGTGCTTCAGGCAAGATTCATGAATCATTCCTTTGCTCAAAAAAACTGTTTAAATTTAGTTGGCCTAAAATTTTTCTAACCCTTACATCCTAACCGCTAACTGTTAACCCCTAACTCTAACCCTATCCCCTAGCCCTAATCCTCACCCTAAACCCTAACCATACGTTCGTTTCTACGTTTGCACTGATATGTCAGTGTTGCGTATTAAAACTGCTGTTCTGGCAAGGCCGCGTGACTAGTGCTGATTTTATAGTAACATTTTTGGACTGAGGCTTTGCATTACCGTTAGGTGTTTTCTACCTGAGCACTGGGGTTATTGTATTCGTATTTCAGAGGTCATATCTGCCTTAGGAACGCTCCGTTTGTCTTCTGAGGCTGTGGTGTGCACCTCACACTGCAGCTGCCTGGCCTTGGGTGGCAAGAACCTAGGGGCCCAGCATTCAGAGGGGCTCTTCGTGTCCAGTTCCCACACAGAGCTCTTCTTACTAGTCTCTGACCCTAAGCAGTCAGGAATGCAAACAGGAAGGATTTTACTCACTGTGGACACGACCCAGAGTTGTCCCAAACTGAGGCTGTGCCTGCTACGTCTGTGCTGTGGAGAACGCACCTCCACCGTCACGGTGCCCCACAGGTCTGTACTGAGGAGAATGCAACTCCACAGACCGCCGTGAAGCGACGGGCGTCGGCGCCATGATGCCAACTGAAAAGGCAGGCTCGGGCGCCCCCTGCTGGTGGCCAGGCAATGCGGGGCCCTTTTGCTCATGGTACTCCCTGGTAGCAGCTAGAGCCACTGCAAGGCCCTCTTGCAGTAAGAATCCGGCCCCAGGGTCTGTGCAGAGGAGGACGCAGCTCCACCCTCACAATGTCCCCCAGTTCTATACAGAGGAGAATGCAACTCTGCAGACCACTGTGACTCAATGCACTGCAGTGGTGTGACATGATGCACACCCAGTGGCGGAGCCTCAGGAATCTGAAAGGCGGGCGTGGGCACCCCCTGCTGGGGGCTCTTGCTCACCATGCTGTCACCGCGCCCCCTTCTGGCAGCTAGGGCCACGGCAGGGCCCTCTTACAGTGTGGTGACCAGCATCACCTGCCGGCAGCTGGAGCACTGCAGGGCCCTCTTGCTCACAGTGTAATGGCAATATGCCCACTGCTGGCAAGCAGGGCAGTGCTACATCCTCTTGCCCATGGTGTGGTGCCTGTGCTGCTGGGCACTCTTACTCTCAGTGTAGTGGGGGTACACCCCCTGCTGGCCGCTGGGGGCACTGCAAGACTCTGTTGCTCATAGTGTCCTGGCAGCACTCCCGTGATGGGAACTAGAGCATTGCCGGGTCCTCTTGCTCATGGTGTGGTATTCGTGTGCCCCCTGCTGGCTGTTTGGCGCACTGTAGGGCCCTGTGACTCACAGTGTAGTGGCCCTGCTGGCAGCTGGGGCACTGCGGGACCATCTTGCCCATAGTGTACTGGCGGCACGCCCCCTGCTGGCTGCTTGGTACACTGTAGGGCCCTCTTGTGCACAGTGTAATGGTGGCATGCCCCCTGCTGGCAGCAGGGGACACTGTAGGACCCTCTTGCTCAGTGTTGTGGCAGCATGTACCCTGCAAGCAGCTGGTACACCTCAGGGCCCTCTTGCTACCAGTGTGATGGCTGGCGCCCCCTACTGGCCTCCTTCTGCAGCATTTAAAGTCAGAAAGCCAGTTTATTCAACAACCACAGTTCTGGAAATTCAAACTGAAACGGAGCTATTACTGGAAAGAGCTGATGTCCCAGTTCTTGTCTAACTTGGGAGAAAGATTTTAACCAAGAGGCAGTACAAAGATGGCAGATAACTTTATTGAAAATAAATACAGTGTAAAGAGCTTCTTATAGAAAATATAAGTAGGCCCCAAGGGAGCAGTGTGCTGACTGTGCAGGAAAACAGCCCAAAAGTCCTGTGCAGGGAATTTTATTATGTACTTCTTGACATTCCTGCCTCTGTTTCAACTCTCCACCTGTTT